CTGCACTAGTCCCACCTCATCTAGAGTATGTCATCCAGTACTGAATGCCTCTTTTTTAGAAGGATACAAACAAATGGCAACAGGTTGAGGAAAGCAGCGAAGATAGACAGTGCTCTAGGGAAAGAATTTGGGGAGGAAAGGTTGAAAAACTGGGTATATTTGATCTAAGGAAGCAAAGACTGAAAGAGGCTGTAGGGAGTTTTTTGTGGGTTTTTCAGGCTGTGTGGCCATGTTCTAGAAGAGTTTCTTTCTGATGTTTCACCAGCATCTGTTGCCGGCATCTTTAGAAAAATGCCAGCCACAGATGCTAGTGAAACGTCAGAAAGAAACTCCTCTAGAACATGGCCACACAGCCCGAAAAAACCACAAAAAAGCTGTAGGGAATGTTAGCAAACACATATATGCATGATTCTTTGAATAACTGTTAAATAGATTAGAATAGATAAAGACTTGTTCTGCACTAGATCTCCAGGTTTTAGCTGTTGGGGGGCGGTTTAAGGTGTGGAGCAGATTTCACTTGACATTTAAGACAGTCATCACCTCTCTTGGTGCCCTGTCAAAATGCTCTTATCAATGCTAGTGAAATCAGTTATCCTAGATGAGTGATAATGGTCTTTTGGAACTCTTGAAAAAGAGTCAGGACAGCTATCTGATGCTAATGCTAATGGTATAGCTTTTGATTTCCTTTCCTGATCACAGGCTTATGAGCCCTGTTCTAACTGATCCTGTCCAAGTTCTTTAAATGGTAATAACAGCAATGAAACGTTGGTCCATTTGCCTGCAGATCCTGTGCTATACTATAGGTATTTCAGTATTATTCACTGAACCCTGGCTATCTAAAGGTGTAAACAGCTATTTTATCCAGTTAATATACAGTTCTTATGCTTGACTTATGTACATCCACTTGTCTATTCCTTTGCTTAAACCAAAGGACCCAGTCCTCAGGTTGCCTCCATATGAAATTTTAGTGTTCTTTGGGCTTAATTATGGACCTGCAATTAGGTTGGTTTTCTATTACTTGAAAAGATGTGATGTGCCTCACAAAATAGATCCTTTGTCATTGTTATGTCACAGATGAATTGCTTCTCTCATGGGATGTTTATAGTAGTGGGTCTGCTAGAACAAGAATAAACCCTGCCTCTTTGCAGATTATCAAGATGTGAATGAGACAAAACAATATATCCTGGTACTTCAGAGGCTGTCATATTTATGTTGTTGTTCTTCAATGCCTTCAGAACAACCCTAAGGTGAACCTGTCACAGGGTTTTCTTGACAAGATTTGTTCAGAGCGGCTTTGCCTTCCTCTGAAGTTGAGAGGGTGGGACTTGCCCAAGGTTACCCAATAGGTTTCCATGGCTAAGCAGAGGAATTAAACACTGGTCTCCAGAGTCGTAGTCCAGTTACTCAAATCACTGTGCCACTTTAGCTTTCTGCCTGGTTTATAAATCCAGACGAATTATCCATAAGGCATACTGAATGTGTGTGTATGTACATGCTGGCTGGGATAGGAGCACAGAGCTCATATGTATGTCAAAAGATAGAAGAGTTTGAAGCAGCCTCCCTTGAAGAACCTGACCATCAAGAAGAATACCCATTCCTTCCCACTGCCAGAAATTGCTCATGTGCAGCAGAAGTAGGCTGCACAGCTGCATCATAGCCTGCACTAACACTCCAGGGACAAACTTACCTGGTTGCCTCTCCACTCAGTACCCTTTCCCAGTCCAAATGCCTCTCTTGATCTGATATAGTTACTAGGGGCCTTGTTGTCCTTACCACCCAATTGTATAGAATTATCTTTCTTGACATGTTTATCAGACCATATTCTGGTCTATCTTTCATCATATGTTTCTGGATTAACTACTGCTAGTTTACAGAGTCATTGTAGCGATTAGAATGGGAAACTAGCATTGAAGAGACTCAAATTCAAATTCCAGCTGAGCTATGAAACTCACTAGGTGACCTCAGGTCTATCAGATATATATCCACAGCATAACATCTACACTGCAAAGTTGTAAGCATAAAATTATCAGGAGGCGTTGTATGTACTACTCTTTGCTCTTATGGAGGAAGAGCAGAATAATATATGTATGCAGTAATAATAATAAAAATAATGGATTGAGGCAGGAAAAATCAACAAATAAACAGTGTACAATGTCAATTAAAACACATTAATTACAACATGCAACAGTTTAAAAGGACAAATAAGACATACATATTCTAAAATAATCCACATTTTAAAATCATCATTTAAAAATCATCTGGATAAGCCTGCTGGAAGGGACTGGTATTCAGTGCTGTTTTAAATTCAGACAGTGTATTCAGCTGTCAAAATTCTTCTGACAGGACATTCCACAGACTGGGGGTGGCTGAAGAAAAAGTCCACTGCCTGATAGTTAGCAACCTAGTCCTGGCTAACTGGAGTAAATTCTCTGCTGGAGGACCTGAGTGTATGGGCCAGATTATACGGGAAGAGGCAATCTCGTAGGTAACCTGGATCTAAACCATGTAGGCCTTTAAAGAAAATAACCAACGTGTATATATGTAATGTAAGGTAGGTATGTGAGAGTGCAGGCTGGAGTACAGTTATGTCATATTTTACCATCTGTCCAGGTCTCAATATTTAGGACAGATAGTTGTTTAAAATAAGATAGACTTATTTTCTCTAAGATGTTGAGAGAGGAAGAATAGTTATGAAAACAACAGAGAAGAACCACTAAGGGGGGTTGCAGACTTCAAGAAATAGTGCAAATTGAGTCCACATTTAGGGTTAGGGTTAGTGCTAGGGAATCACGGGAACTGTATTTTATTGTGGCACCAGAGCTTTCTGACAGAGAAGGCTCAATGTCTCAGAAAAAAAACCAATTCCCATGATTCCCTAGCACTAACCCTAACCCTAAAAGTGGACTCAATTTGCACTATTTCTGGCAGTCTGCAACCCCCCTAAATTTACAAATGGCCTTTTAGAGGCAGATGTATAATTATTTGCCTTGTAGCCAGTCCTTAGTGAAAATTATTGTAGACCTGAGACTTGATAGGGTGTCCTTCAGATGGTTGGCTTTGTGAGCACCAAATGAACACAGCATTGATGACCATAAAGCCAACTAAATGAAGGACACTCAGTTGATTCTCCTCTCCATCCCATCTGGAAAGTATGAGGCGTTGGGTTTTTAGATTGTATCAATGTATTTTTAATTGCTGTAAGCCTCCCTGGTTGTTTTAACAGAGGGGCGGGGTATAAATACATTATTATTATTATTATTATTATTATTATTATTATTATTATTATTATTATTATGAGCTACAGATTATCAGTCACTTTTCTTTGTGTTTCTACAGATTTGTAGATTGAACAGGTAGGACATAACGTAGGAGAAAATTTCATATAAAACCAAAGACAGCTTTACTGGTGGATGCTCCTTGTGTGTTTCAAAAACATATCTTTTTCAGGGGGAAATAAATAGTATTTTAAGGACAAAAAATATACCATGAGAATTCTTTCCAGCAGTCTCCAGTGGAACATAAACATTCCTTTCATAAAGCTACATTTTCAAAGCATGTTTGGAACACAAATTTGTGCAGCTCATTTTTTGTTCTCTGTACAGCTGCAGTGGATTCCTTGTTTTTAATAACTTGATATCTTGGTGATCCAATGCACATATGCACATATCTTCAGCATTCCAAACAAAGACTTGCTCTCATTTTTTGTTGTTCTGGGATTCCATTTTCTTATCCTTTTAACTCAGAGAACTTATAAAATTAAGTTTGAAATTGGCACATAAGCAGTTTGTTGCATTAGAATTTCTTCTTGCATTGTGATAATATACATATGTGCTTATCAGTAACCTATAAGGAGAGAGAAAGATGCAGTTGAAGAGTGCTGCAAACTGTGTGTGTGTAAAGAGGTCTGAGCCAAGTCCAGGAACAGAATGGAAAGGGTGGCAGCTGGTAGAAAGGGTAGAACAGGGATGGGCAACTATGGGAGGCTAGGGGGCAACATTGGTCCATCAGGAGACCTTGGATGGCCACACAAACTCACTGCAGTGTGATTATTGTGTGTCTTCAAGTTATTGCTGACTTATGGCGACACTATCAGAGGGTTTTCTTGGCAGAATTTGTTCAGTGCAGGTTTGCCCCTGCCTTCCTCTGAGGCTGAGAGAGTGCAACTTACCCAAGGTTACCCAGTGGGTGTCTATAGCCAATCTGAGATTTGAACCTTGGCCTCTCAGGCTGCATCTGCATTATAGAAATCAGTTTGACACCACTTTAAGTGCCATGGCTGAATACTGTGGAATTCTGGGAATTATAGTTTTGTGAGGCATTTAGCCTTCTCTTTCAGAGAACTCTGGTGCCACAACAAGCTGTAATTCCCAGGATTCCATAGCATTGAGCCATGGGAAAGTCGCATCAAACTGGATTTTTTGTAGTGCCGATGCAGCCCCAGTGTCCTGGTCCAACGCTCAAACCACTGCACCACATTGTCTCTCCCCCTGTACTGACCACCACAAAATTAAAAAACAAATCAAATTTTTTTGACCCTAAACACCCTCCACAGGGCATTTTCACCATGTATTAGGCCTTCCTGGGTCATGTTAGGCTGAGGAAAGGCTCTTTTCAATAGCAGGAAGGGAGCAGAAATCACTTCTTGTTTCTTATTGAGCCCTAACCTGGTCCAGTTCCCCCTCCCCCATGTGGCAGGAATGTCCCCCATCCAGTTGAGGGCATTTGGGGGCAAAAACAATTAACAAAACAAAATTCTGCTTTAAAAAAACCCTGACAGGCCCAGGGGACTTCTAGACAGGGTGAAAATGCCCTCCCAATCATCTAGAGAGCATTTTGGAGCAAAACAAAAATGCCTGTGGGTGACGTGGTCCCCAGGGTGCACTTTGCCCACTCCTACTATAGAAACAAGATCAGGTAATTTTCTTCAGAGGGGGTTTGCCATTGCCATCCTGTGAGGGTGAGAGAGTGTGATTCACTCAGGGTCACCCAATAGGTTTATATGTCCAAGCAAGGATTCAAATCCTGGTCTCCAGAGTCATAATCCAATGCTGAAACCACTAAGCCACACTGGCTCTCAAGGCTCTCTACCAAGAAAGTTATTAACTGACAAAGAACAGTCAGAAGCCTGTGCAAGAAGACACTAATGTCTTTGATGTTTTGAAATGCTGTACGCCGCCCCGATTGCCTAGCAGAGGGGCGGGATATAAATAAAAATTATTATTATTATTATTAATGTGAAGCCAAAGTCCCCAGTCTGCTGGCTTGCTAATTTCTCTTACTTACCAGTAAATCATTTTTATCATGCTGTTCATCTGAAAGGGTTCTCAGAGCAGCCTGCAAAGAAACATTAAAAACATGATAATTCCTCCTTCCCAGAACTGTTACCTGAAATCAGTTCCTGATAAGTTTCCTGATAGAGGTGAGCCAAGGGAATTATGGATACTGTAGGTGGACTAATAACAAGTTAAGGGGTGGGAATTTGGATGTATGAATGGACTGGATTCACTAAATCTTCGTGTTGGGGGAACAAGTAAGGACTCCTAATGGATGTTCAACCCAGCTATAAAATGCTTTTGACTTTAAACTGTCTTTGCTGAGTTTGCTTCTGTCTCCCACCAACACCTTAAATCTTGTTGGACCAATTGCTTGGAGTTAGAAAACTAAAATTCAATGTGACTGGTCTACCAGGAGGTGACACTGTTGCCTTGCAAGAAAAAGAATCTTGATTGTGTATTTTAATGAAAATAGATATGGTGAGCCACAGCTACACACACTTGGACTATCTTATTTTTGAACTTGATTCTGCAAGGACTATTTTGTTCCGTGTTCCTGCAAAAACATTAAAAATTCTCAAATGTCTGAGTTCTCTAATTGCACTTACAAGGTAGAATACTGAGAGTAATACAGGTAATACTCATGTTTGTAATTCTCAGACTAACCCCAACAGAGTGGGGTGGCTTTTAATAATGTAATGCCTCTTATAAATGAAACAAAGGGACTGTCTGGTATAGCATTCTCATTTTAACTGTGGCAAGCTAGAGGGCTGCCTTTGTAAAGGGGATGCAGTGGCTCAAGTGGTTAAGATGCTGACTCTGTTGATCACAAGGTTGGCAGGTTGGCAGTTCGAGGCCCAGGTGCTGCATGATGGGGTGAGCTCCTGTCACTAGTCCCAGCTTCTGCCAACCTAGTTGTTCGAAAGCATGCAAATACAAGGAGATAAATAGGTATCACTTCAATGGCAAGGTAAACAGCATTTTGTGCAGTCATGCTGGCCACATGATCACAGAGTAGTCTCTGACAGCGCTGGCTCTTGGGCTTAGTAACGGAGATGACCATTGGCCTCTATGGTCAGACACGACTTGACAACCTTGTCAATGGGAAATACCTTTACCTTTACCTTTTAAGCTAGAGGGTTGCCTTTGGGAAGCTCACAAGGAGATACAAAGGCTGCAACCTTCTCCCAATATTTGCTTTCCTTATTCTTCAACATTGATACTCAGATATGTTTCTGGTGAGCATGAAGCTATGTGTAACTCCCAGTATTAATAGATGCTGACAGAACTATTCCCTTCCCCCCTCCCCAATTTTCTGAATCCCCCTTTAAAGCCATTAGAGCTGGTGACCAGCTTCACATCTTGTGGCAATACTTTCTGGAAATGAATGTGTTACTTCTTCTTGTCCCTGTCATTCTGTGCCTCAAAAAAAAAAATCTGAAATCTGAAGCATATTTCAGTGAGTGTATATCCATGTTAACAAAGCAGTATTGCACATATTTGCTTAATTCTGCATAGAATAGCATATTTTGCTTTTGCTCATTCAAAGAAGGAAAATATTTTTCTGGGCATTTGAAGTCTTCCTCTATGACGGCTGTCAACTTTGCTTAACACCCTCTTGGTTTTGGAAATTTTGTTTTGCATTACACACAGTTTAGGCTCACCTTCTCGGCTAAAAGACTAGAAACACTGTCAGTACAAGCTGAGATTCTCTAGATGCTGATGTCTGTGTCCATTACAAAGCAACCCCCGAGGTACTGTTTCTCCCATTAGCCTTGACTTCTCTTTGAATGAATAGCATAGCATACTGCAGCAGTGCAGCAATTTCAGTAAAATTTGTCTGCCCAGATAGGAGGGCACATAAGGAATGGATTGCTAATGGTGGCATTGTAAAAAAAATGCTGGAAGGTAGAAATAACCCAGAGCCAGTATGGTGTACTGGTTTGAGTGTTGGACTGCAACTCTGGAGACCAGGGTCTGATTCACCATTCGGCCATGAAACCCACTGGGTGACCTGGGGCAAATCACACTCTTTCAGTTTCAGGGCAAACCTCTGAATCAATCTTGCCAAGAAAACCCTATGATAGGGTTGCCATAGTTGGAAACAACTACTCGGCACACAAGAATAACAGCAGAAATAACTTCCTGCTTTCCTTCAAGCCCCCCATCCTGACCATCAACACAAGATGAGCCATGTGCCTGCATATTTCCCTCTTTGCTGGTTCAGGAAGTTAATAGCAGATAGAAATGCACAGGTGTGGGCCCTCAGGGAACCACGGACTGGAAATTGGGATGAAGGCAAGCAAGGGCTTAAAGAGGAGGTGGTAAATGAGCTCTGTCAGTGGGTCTAAGAATATGTGTTCCCTGAGATCAGTTTTCACTCTCTGCCCTACCCAGCCCCTTATAATCTTTTAACACATGAATGAGGAGTGCCTCTATCCAACTCTTGGGGCCTCTAGAGGTCAAATAAATGCAAATATTTTCCAAAAATTAAAGGGAATCCACTCCTCTTGTTTAGTGACCACTGAGCATGCTGGGAACCCTAAATTCTACATGCTCAGTCTTGAGAGAAATAGTCTTGCCTATGTTATAGTGACCAGCTTTGTAATGTGCCTGAAGAGAGCAGACTTCAAGCTGTTTCTTTCATTTTCCTCCTTTCTCACTAATAACTCCTGACAGTGCAGCTTTCTGTGGAGTTTGTTGAAGGGTGACCAGGCCCTGGACATTTTGTTCAGGATTAAATCAAGAATTTTAACAGCTGGGAAGTGAGTGTTGAATTCTAGCCTGAGGCCATAGAAAACCTGTATAGAAAAAACTGGGGGCTTATATGAAGGGAGGGAGAATTGACAACTTCAGCAAGATGGCTTAATTTTCCATAGAGTCATAATGAGAACAATATTTACTGATAATATTTAGAATATTAAACTCTGACATTTAAAAATAACCCCCCCTTTTCAACTTGCTCAGTTTCTGAACACGTCTTATTAATTTTCTTCTGTCAATACTATCTTGAATGCTGTAGAATTTATCCTCTAGTATTTGCTTGAACGAGCCTTTAGCTGAAAAGTAGCCTGCTGTGTAACTGCATGATCTCAGTTTGAATATTGTAGATTGGTGTAATGGTTATCTAGACTCCTAAAAACTACCTGCATAATTCTTTTTTAAGGAGACATTTGCACATGATAAAAATAGAATAATGTGCCACCTGTAACTTAAAGTGCAATTTGTCCATGCCCTGATACTATTGCATAGTGTAATTCTTACACACCAATGACATTTTGCTTCCATTCTGGTTTGGTGCACCATATATTGAGTGAAGCCATAGATCAGGGGTAGGCAACCTTTCCCCTTTAAGGGCCGAGGGACTTCAGCTCCCAGAATCCCAGGAGCTATTGGCCAACATGGGACTATTGGCCAACATGGCTGAGGCTTCTGAGAGCTGAAGTCCCTCGGCCCTTAAAGGGGAAAGGTTGCCTACCCCTGCCATAGATCTTGTGGTTATCTTTAAACTTGTTATCAAGAAGGACATAGTCACACTGGTCAACAGAGGCAGGCCAGTTACTTGCAAGCTTGATCTTTGCCCCTTTTGGTTTTGGGGGTGTTTTTCTCAGGGTCTTGGAACTGGCCAGTTCCACATTAAAACAGTTTGTGATTCCAGCATCTCTGTATGATGTTGTGATCAGATCACTTATAAAAAATATGAGTAACTGTTTATTCATATCAATTAGCAAGATATTTGAATCCATGATGGTAACACAGGCCTGATGCAGACCAGCACTTTAGGCCAGCCTGGGAGTGGAGTCAGGGTGGGGTGACCATACGCTGGCCGTCCTGACTTCTCCCTGATGCTGCGCGCCCGACTGCACGGCGTGTGGCATCAGGGTGCCCTGTTGCCGCAGTGTCAGACACTGCACCAAAGGGGTGCAAAAGAGCCGCCATGGCGGGTCTAAGGGCAGCTTTTTGCCACCCCAAAAAGGCACTCCCAGGGACAGCACAGAGCCACCCTTATGGGTCATCTGCATCGGCCCTCGGATAGATGCAGCATTCTTTAGATTTGTTCCATTGTGGCTTCAAGCCAGGGTTTGTACAAAAAGTGGTATTTATTTATTTATTTTGGAGTATTTATACCCCGTTCTTCAGCCACAAAGGGCCTTTGCAGACTGCTAGAAATAGTGCAAATTGAGTCCACTTTAAGGGTTAGGGTTAGTGCTAGGGAATCATGGGAATTGTTTTTTTTCTGAGACATTGAGCCTTCTCTGTCAGAAAGCTCTGGTGCCACGATAAAATAAAGTGGACTCGATTTGCACTATTTCTAGCAGTCTGCAAAAGCCCAAAGTCTCTCAGAGCGGCTTACCAATTGTTAATAAGACAATTTCCTGCCCTCAGGTTTACAATCTAAAAAGGACATGACATAAAAGGAGAAGGGAATGGCAGTGGGGAAGGGGATCAAGTGCAGTGGTTCTTCTCTCCCTCTGATGCCAAGGCAATGGGAAATGGAGTGGAGGGAAGGCCCTTCTTTTGTCTGATTTCTTTCTCTCTTTTAAAACACTGAATCAATTGCTTAAACTGATTCCTTGTCTTGGTAGATAACTAGCAGTAGACAATGGATGGGGTGATGGTGCTATTGCTGATTATCTTATGCTTTTGGGTTGCTTTTGGCTTGTTGTTTGACTTTGACTTATGGCAACCCTATGAATAAGATTTTCAAGACATCCTATATTGTCTTTTCTAATAAATCATTTTGTCCTATTATGTGTCCAAAGTCCATTTGGTTCAGTTTGGTCATTTTGGTTTCTGCT